TCTTGGGCTATTTTATAGCATTCTTGTGCGGTGCGTGGCTCGCCTTGAATGCTGAATACTCCCCATGGGGTAGGAAATTTGATCACTTGGTAGTGGCTTGAAGGGACCGCTCGCATGGCGTGTATCCATGGGCGTCCTATGATGACGTTGTACGCCGTTTCTTGGTTCATCACGTGGAAAGTTGTTTCCAGCGTGACTCCTCCTGCTAAGACGGGCAGTGCTATTTCTCCGGACGTCCGTTCCATTGCATTGTTAAAACCGGTTAGTGTTATGCAGCGCGGTATTACCTTATCCTCGAGTCCCATTTGTATGAGGACCCTTGGGTGGATAATACAGGCGCCGCTTCCGTCATCGATCATGACTTTTTTAACATCTGTATCAACGATATGTAAAGTGATAACTAAAGCATCATAATGAGGGAAAGACAAACCGTCGGCATCAGACTTATCGAAGGTGATACTATCTTCGAAGTCCTCATACCGGTCATGGGCGATGGTCCGCTTTAGTCTGTGTGTGGTGGCGAGTTTGACGTAATTGATCGCTGCCTCGTCGCCGCCTCCGACGATCATGTTTATCGTGCGCACTGGGGAAGGCGTCTTTGGCGGTCCGTGGGACTGTTCCCGTCCGCGTGCAAAGTTTATTTTTCCTTTGTCACTGAGTAGCTCCCTTAGGTATCCCTGGTTCAGCATCCTGACCACTTCTTGCCGTAGGCCGATGCGGTCTTCGGTTTTGTGTCCTCGTTCCTGATGGAACTCACACAGGGCGTTTGATTTCCTTGTGGCAGGGTCTGATTTCATCTTTTGCGGCCAGTGCACCTTGGTGCCTAGCTTTTCCAGTGCGTACACTATCTCTGAAGGAGACACACAAAAGTTATGGGCGGTTAATAAAGGGGGCGTACCTCTTTCGTTTCGCAGCGGGGCGACGTGTCGCTGTAGTGCGTCTGTATGCCTTGGTGGCGGATGGGGAGGATCTGGTGTACGGCTGTTGTCGATCTCTGTTGGAACGAGGGAGTTGTTCTCGTCGTCCTTCGTTTCGTCGATCTCTCCTTGTTTTCGAGTGTATCGCTGTTAACCGTCGGGTCGGCCCATTTAGATCATCCTCGTCCGCTCGTACCTCGGCGCAATAAGCGTTGTGGATTTCTTCCCATGTGGTAGGGGGATATTTCATGAGGCGGCTCAGCAGTTTCTTGGTTGCCCTCGAACCATTTCTGCTTAGCCCGTTCTGGAAAGGGGCGACTGCCATACCTTCCGATACGTTTGGTAGGCTCATCCTTACCCTGTTAAACCTTGCCAGGAAGTCCCTGAGTCCCTCTCCTGCGTTTTGCCTGATGGCGAAGATGTCGTTGACCCTGGCTTCTGCTTTCTTCGCGCCTGCATGGGCTGTGACGAATTTATCTGCCATTTCCTCGAACGTTGATATTGCTTTAGCCGGTAGCTGAGAGTACCATGTTAAGGCCCCTCCTGTCAACGTCTCGCCAAACTTCTTCAGTAGTACCGACGGTACCTGTTCTTTTGATAGGTCGTTGCCTTTCACAGCAGTGACGTAGTGGATCAGATGATCCTCGGAATCGGTGGTTCCGTCATATACCCTCAAGTATGGTGGCATTTTGAAGGTTTTTGGGGTGGAGTGAGGAGCAGCTTCTTCGGTGTATGGTTGTTCGACGAACCTTCCTACGTCGCGTCTTGGTAGCAACTTCGGAGCACCGGGGATCTTGCCGACCCTCTCCTGATGTTCCTTCATCTGACCGCGGAGTGCCTCATTTTCATTTTCTATTTCTTCCATCTTCTTTAAGATGGCTGTTAGCGTGCCATCGTTGGTTTTTGTCTCGATGGGTCTGTTATTTACTAGTGTAATTTCTGGTTCACCCACTGCCGCAATGGTACCTATCGTTGGTGTACATCCGACGTTATTTTGCGGTGGCCTTTCAACCAAGCCACTTAGAGCGCTTGTTAGCCATCTTTCCAGTAGCTCTTTGACCGCTGAGGGTGCTTCCGTGGCTGTAGATGTGGAAGCTCCTTTGTGTAAGATCGTCAGACCTTCGGATGGGGAAGGTGAGATCTCTGCACCTGGTGTGATGCTTGGGGTTTCATTCAGGATGCCATCGTCACAGGCCTCGTTGAGAGGGCCTAGGAGATTGGTAGTAACACCTAATATGGCTTTCGATCTTGTGTTGTTTTCGGCCATTTCCTGTTTTTGAGTGGTGTAGAGAGTGCTGGTTGGTTGATCTCTAGGTGGATACTATGGTTTTGATTCTCGAAATCCCCACAGACGGCGCCAAATTGTTTGGCTCACAAGTTAACGATATACTTTGTAAGCGATAAAACAATCAAAAAATAGAGAAGGGGTAAATCGTAATCAAATATAATAAACCTAGAGATGCAAAGATGATAATATTGTTGTAGATCTAGTGTTGTAAAGATGATAATGTATGTTCATAAGATATTTTCGTCAGAAGTAGAGATATAGAGAGAGAAAGACGGAAAAGGAGAGAGTTGTATTACATCAGCTGATGGCCTTTACAATGTGGAGGTCCCCTTTATATAATAGGAGACCTTCCTCGAAAGAATCAAAAAGTTACAGAGGTAGGTAACGTCTCCCTAGTGTAGACGCTGAGTTCTAAACGACGTCGCTTTGGTCCTCACGGCCGAGTCGTACCCGCTACATTTAGTCGGCGTACACTCATTGAGCGTACCTACTGGCGTAGAGATACTGAGGGTCAAATTTGACCCTACACAAACCTCAAGACCAATTACAGTTTCGTTGTCGTTATCTTTGTCCGCGTCCAACAGTCAATTCCAAGTCAAAAGTTGTTGAGGAAGATTCTCTCTTTCCCAATAACCTTCTCTTCCTTGCCCCCTACTTTATCTCATTCTCATTCAGTCAATAGTATAATTACTAATTAATTGATTAATTAAATGCCGAAACTGTCCTCAACCCAATCCCTCACCCAAAAATACTCGACTACATACGTATTCTTTTCTATCATAGCGGTAATTAGGAAATGAAAAATGAAAAATGAAAAATGAAAAATGAAAACAGTGAAATTTGAATTCACAAATATTTTGTGAAAAATTCTCCTCCAAACCGCATGACTGACCTTGTGGTCACTACAAATGTATTTGGTACAAAATATTTTTCTCAAGGAAAGTATGTTCTATTAAAATGGTAAAATAGCTTGATTAGTTCTGAACTGAATTGTTTTCTTCCATAAATAACTTATTTCTTATTAACACATATTTAAATCAACATATCGATACTATTATCAGCCTTTAATACCAAAAAATATGAACAATTTAACTTTATACCATATGATTCACCTTATACAATTGTATACATTACATACTTTAGGTTTAGTACTCTAATTTTTTATTGTACTGTAATTCAAACAGAAAAATAGTAGTACCAATTTTCTCAATATCCCGACACTCACAAAAGTAGTACTCCTATTCTGTCGCCCATGCTCCTGGGACACTCCCCACACTTAGCGGAAAAAACCATCTCAATTCCCATAGGATAAAAAAGGTTTAGTTTCATAAAATCATCCGCCATTTCCTCACATTTTCCGTTATCTTCCAATTACCCTTCCTCCATTTCATCGATCCTTCTGGAATCATCAAGAATCCTCTTACTTCCACGACCCCACTATGTTTCCCCACTTTTCCCATTTTCTCTTTACCTTTTCGATTTCTTAGTGACAAAGTTCAGCCCTTTTTAGTCATCTTACATTCCTTAGTGTCCACGTTCAGTCTTTTTACTCTTCATAAGTACACATAACTAGATCCTTGCAGTTGCAGATCATCTGAGCTTTTTCATTTTCAAAATTTACAGTCAAGTTTTTTTTCTCTCTTTAGTGAAGTTGGAAAATGGATCGTGGAAATTACCGACGTGGTGGTGGTGACAGCAGTCGTGGCGGTGGTGGTGGAGGTAACCGTGGTCGTGGTCGCGGTGGTGGTCAATACGAACAGGAGCAAGGCCGTGGAGGTGGAAGGGGTGGGTCCCAGATTGGTGGCGGAAGGGGTGGGCCCTCCCAGATGGGTTCATTCAACCAGCAACCATTTCAGCCTCCACAGCAATGGGGTAACCAGCCAAGGGCATCTGGTCCGGGTCAGAGTCAGTATCAGGATCGTGGGGCTCCGTATAATCATCCGGTTCAGCAGCAGCCAGTTGGACAAAATCCGGGTCGTGGTGGTGCTTGGGTCAGCCGTGGCGGCGGCGGTACTGCTTGGGCCCGGCCACCACCGCAGCAGCCACAGCAACATGGTAGTGGCAGCAGTGGTACTGCGTGGGCCAGGCCACCGCCGCAGCAACATGTGAGTGGCGGCAGTGGTACTGCTTGGGTCAGGCCACCGCCGCAGCAGCCACCACAACATGGTGGTGGAAACCAGCAGCAGCGGGATGTTGAACCCAGTAGCTCAGCAGCATCAAATGTTCGCCCGGGGGGTCCTCCTTCAGGCTCTAGTCCTCCTCAGTCTTCTGGTATTAACTCATACCTTTAAAATGGTGTGTTCTTTGATTTTATGTTCAAGAATTTTAAAATGCATTGTATCTTTTTGTGTAGATCCTGTTCAAGTTGATCTGAAGTCGCTGAGTATTACAGAAACAAAGAGTACATCATCTCCTCCGGAAAATAACAACGGAAAGCTTGTACCTATAGCACGACCTGATACGGGAAAAGTTGCTGTCAAGTCAATTAGACTGCTTGCTAATCATTTTCCTGTTAGATTTAATCCTCAGTCTACCATTATGCATTATGATGTCGATATCAAGCAAATCATGACTGATGAAACCCGCGCTGTGAAGAAGTCAATAAACAAGTCTGATCTTCGTATTATAAGAGATAAACTGTTTGCTGATAATCCTGTTCAATTTCCAATAGATAAAACTGCATATGATGGTGAGAAGAACATTTTCAGTGCTGTCCAACTTCCTACTGGGCGATTCACTGTGAACTGCTCTGATGGGGATGATGGTAGGGGACGCTCGTATGTCTTTACCATCAAGTTTGTTGCTGAACTGAAACTTTGCAAGTTGAAAGAATATTTGAGTAGAAACCTCTCATACATACCTCGTGATGTACTACAAGGAATGGATTTGGTTATGAAAGAAAATCCTTCTAGGTTAAGGATATTTGCAGGTCGTAGCTTCTATTCAAATGAGCACTTGGCTGAACATGACTTTGGGTTTGGAGTTGCTGCATATAGAGGTTTTCAGCAAAGCCTAAAGCCTACATCTGGAGGGCTTGCCTTGTGCCTAGATTACTCGGTCTTGGCATTCCGCAAAGCAGTGCCTGTGCTAGATTTCCTGAGGGAATATATTGGAGAGTTCAATGAAAATAATTTTACTCGTAGAAGAGATGCAGAGGATGCATTGGTTGGTTTGAAAGTCAAAGTAACTCATCGTCGTAGCAGTCAGAAATATGTTGTTAAGAAGCTGACTGATGAGAAGACTCGCGACCTTCATTTTATCCTTGAAGATCCAGAAGGCAAAGATCCTCCTAAGAAAGTTTTTCTTGTTGACTACTTCAGGGAAAAATATCAGAAGGAGATTAGGTACCAAAATTTACCTTCATTAGATCTTGGAAAAGGTAATAAGAAAAACTATGTCCCAATGGAATTCTGTGTCTTGATCGAGGGACAGCGGTATCCTAAGGAGCACTTAGATAAGGATTCAGCCTTGTTTATGAAAAAAATATCACTAGTTCCACCGCGAGAGAGAAGGGAGGCAATATGTGAAATGGTACGGGCTGAAGATGGGCCATGCGGGTATGTGAATTCCTTAAATTTCTTTCATGTCTGTTTGTGTTTCCTTCTATGAGTTTTTTTATGCTTCCTTGAATTTCTTCTTGTAGTCCTATAGAAACGGGTTCAATTGAACCCATAACTTTGGCGCGGAGTACAAATTTATATGCAAAAATTCATTGAAATTGAAATAAATAGTGGATATGAACCCATAACTTTCCGTCTATATTGATTTCAATACTAAGAACTTTAAAGGCTAAACCCATAGAGTTTAAATCCTAGATCCATCTCTAGCTCTCCCCCACAAGAAATGTTTGGTTTTTGATAAACTTGTTAGTTGTTACAAAGTTGTGATCCGGTTATGCTGCAGAGCTGCATGTTGGACTTCTGATCGTTAATTCTATGGTTTTCTCGTGTTTAGTCATTCCACTTATGGCGCTGGTATTTTCTAATCGTGTTTCGCTCGTTGTTTAGGCATTTCACAAAGTACTGAATTGTTATTTGATACAGTTGTTACAAAGTTGTGGTAAGTTATGCTGTCTGTTTAACCTTTGTTCACGTTAATTGTATGGTTTGCTTGTGTTTAGTCATTCCTACATGCGCTTATATTTTTCTAATCTTGTGTTGGGTATTTTTCCTTGCTTAGACATTTCATCGAGTGGTGAGTTGGCACCATTCATTTTTGCAATGCTTCTATGATTTTGTGAATGTGGTGATATATTGATGTATGTTATTAAAGTATTTATTGTTACTGATTCTTTTCCTTACTTTCACTTGATTATTACAGGGCTGTCACCCGTAATTTTGAAATTGGAGTTGATAGGAACATGACCTGTGTTTCGGGTCGTATCCTTCCTGCCCCTGATTTGAAGCTAGGTGGTCTAAGTCAAGTTCCCGTGGATAATAAATGCCAGTGGAACCTTGTTGGGAAATCTGTGGTGGAAGGCAAGGCGCTTCAGCGATGGGCTCTGATAGATTTTAGCTCCCAGGAACGCAGCCCCAACTTTAGGCTAAGAGCTGAAGAATTTGTCTTTAGATTGAAAGAGCGGTGCAAAAAGTTAGGGATCAACATGGAAGAACCTGTCATAAAACATTTCACTGGCATGTATGAGCTCTCTGCAGTTAGAAAGGTTGAAGATCTCCTCAGAGGTGTGGTTCATGCAGCTGACAAGAAAATCAAGGGTCGACTACAAATGATAGTTTGTGTTATGGCAGCAAAGCACAATGGATACAAATATCTTAAATGGGTCTCTGAAACAAAAATTGGTGTTGTAACGCAATGTTGCTTGTCATCTCTAGCCAACAAGGGACAAGATCAATATCTTGCAAACCTTTGTATTAAGATTAATGCAAAATTGGGAGGTAGCAATATGGAACTTATGGAAAGGCTCCCTAATTTTGGAGGTGAAGACAATGTCATGTTCATTGGAGCTGATGTTAATCATCCTGCTGCAAGGAATGTGACATGTCCATCCATAGCAGCTGTTGTTGCCACTGTCAACTGGCCAGCTGCTAATAGATATGCGGCTAGAGTTTGTCCTCAGGACCACAGGACTGAGAAGATATTAAATTTTGGGAGCATGTGTGCAGACCTACTGAATGCTTACGCTCGACTCAACTCGGTTAAACCAAACAGAATTGTTGTTTTCCGTGATGGTGTGAGTGAGGGCCAATTTGATATGGTACTTAATGAAGAGTTGGTTGATTTGATGAAGGCTATATACGATGATCACTATCGACCAGCAATCACTCTTGTTGTGGCTCAGAAAAGACACCATACACGACTATTTCCTGATGGTGGCCCTGGCAATGTACCTCCGGGTACTGTTGTGGACACAGTAATTGTTCATCCATCTGATTTTGACTTCTATCTTTGCAGCCATTTTGGAGGATTGGGAACTAGCAAGCCTACTCACTATCATGTTTTGTGGGATGAGAATGGCTTCAATTCTGACCGCTTACAGAAGCTTACATACAACATGTGCTTCACCTTCGCGCGGTGCACAAAACCTGTTTCGCTTGTTCCACCAGTTTACTATGCTGACCTTGTTGCCTACCGGGGACGGATGTTCCAAGAGGTGCTTATGGAGATGCAGTCTCCTGTGTCTTCAACTACAGCCTTCACAACTTCATCGTCATCTTCTTCAACTGCCTCATTTGAACAAGGATTCTATAATTTGCACCCCGATCTGCAGAACATAATGTTCTTTGTCTGATCGCAGCCACCGCATACTGTTCTGTCTGATGGCAGCCACCTTTAGTGTTCTGTCTGATGATAGACAACCCAGCTTTTTGATCTCCTTCACCACTCCCACACCGGTGGAGGAGATGGTTGTCCACATTTTGGAGATGCCCATTTCCAAACGCATTTGAACCTCCTTTCTGTCGACCTAGCAAGGTGTTTGTGCGTGAATCTAATGGGATTTCATGTTTGTTTTACTGCCACTCAGTCTTTTACTTTCTGTGGTCCTCACTTTTAGAGGTGTAACTTCTAGGAGTGAGTTTGTCCAGTGATGTCTTAATGGTTTGACGTTTTATTTTGTGTGTTTACTTTTGGTCTTTTGAGGCCACTGCCAGTGTGTTTGAAGTTTGCGACTCTGTTTTAAGTTGAGTGACGTCTTTTATTTATGTATTCTGAGACAGAAACTAAATTTCTTCTATGTAAGTGCGTGAGCTACTTGAAGTCTGTTTATCAGTTATTCAATGTGATTTGTATTTTCTCTCTTAATGTTTCATTTGCTATGGATATAGGTACAGTAATTGGTCTTTTATAGTAGTAGCTTCAATTTCTCAATAAGGAATTAAAGGGAGTATCTCGTTGGTGCACAGGATATCGCAAGAGGACTTTTTGTTTCATAGGGTGCTTATACATTTAATCATCAATGAAATTTCGAACATTTCGAAGAATAATTGAAAGGATACATAATTATACAGAAATAAGAAAGAAAGTTCTTGTGTCCGGGCTCTTTCTCGAATCCCGCGTGTGAGCACGTGATTTTTGCCACGCTTAAATTACTCCTATAGAATTCATTTGAATTAGAATTTTTCTTTTAGTATTTGAATTTTTAGGAATTAATTGCATGATTTTGTGTTTTGTTTGCATTTTGTGTGCATTTTTAGGTGTTATAAAAAAAAAATTCCAAAAATAGCATACTTGCATTTAGGACCTAATTCTAGATTTTTATATTAATTAAACATCATTGAAAATGAGAGAGAAAATAACAAGAAATAATCCTTTTATATCTTTTGTTCCTTTAATTTCACTTTCGTTTAATCTCCTTTTAAAATTATGATCTAGTTAATTCTAGAAAATTTAATTAGTCTCATTTTAAAATTAAATTAGGTTTTGGCTATTTTTAATATTACATTTAATAAAATCCAAAATTCAAATAAATAAAGAAGAAAAGAGAAGAAAATAAACCAAAAGAAATGGAAATGAAAAGGACCAGGCCACAAGTCTTGGGCCAATTCGAGCCCAATAAACCCAACCAGATCCGGCCAAAATGGCCCAAACCCAATCCCAAAATACCCGGTCCAGTTCCCCCTATAACTAAACGACGCCGTTTGGCGTCACACAATCCTGGCCATCAATTTTATCTAATCCAACGACCACAATTGAGTTTTACTTTTACATAAAATTGTCCGAAAAAATATACAAACCCTAAAACATAACCTATCTTCCTCGTACCATGTCTCCGCCACTGCTCCGCCGCCTTCCACCTTCGCCGCCGGCCGGAAATCGTCTCCGCCGGCGGCCAACTTCCAATCACCCCCCAAATTTCACCATAGCCTCGTCTCCGTCTCCCCACTCCGAATCCACCATTGTTTTCTTCCAAATCCCAACCAAACGCTCCCAAAATCTGCAAAACCCTAGCCGCCGTCGGCGAACGCCGGTCATTCCAATGGCCACCAAAAAACACCATAGATGTTCCTTCTTCTCCTTTTTCCAACCCCCATGGTCATTTCCTCGAATCTTCCCCATCTCGTCGAATAATCGATTGAATATTTTCCGGCCAAACACAAAGTATGCCACACAGTCCAAATTAACAACCCTTGACCGCCTGAGCCTCCTCTACCTAATCCCATACCGTTTGTCTCGAATCTGCCTGGGTTTCCTCGAATCTTCATTTAAATTTTTTCCGGTCAGAACCTAACTCACCCATCGACCCCAAATTTGTACCACACGACCCCCTCACCTCCCTCGTGTCAAGTCTGTCACTGGAAGCATTCAAATGTCGCTGGAAATCAGTAAAGGCCACAGAACCCTAGAATTAGTCAGATAAGTTTTCCATTTTTACTAATTTCTTTCCTTCTTTCTTTTTGATTTTATATGTGTTTTGTTTCGCCTTGCATTTATTTGTTTGTGTTTAGTTCATTTTTTTTTTTTCAGATTTTATTAATTTAGTCTTCGATTTTTCTGTTAGTTTTAGTATTAGTATAGTTATAATTAGTCCAATCATTAATTGATGAATAGTGTGGTATTTAGTTTGAACACATGATTATTAGTTTTTGTAATATGTTTTTGCTAGACTCTAGTATCGATTTTTGTTTTAGATATTCATTTGGTTCTGTGTTAATATTTTGTTAGTTTAGATTAGTTTAGTTGTTGATTGATCTTTGATTCAGTATTTGGTCCATTAATTCAGACTTTGGTTATAGCTGATAATTATAATCCTTCAAATAATTTTGGTTGGGTAAAAGGGACTGGGGTTTAGTACAGGTTAGTAATTTCAGGGGACAAATAAGGGCAGTATAGGCATGGGAAATGGTAGTTTAATCAGATTTAGTAAAAATTGAAATGAGGTAGGGGTAGTTTAGGGATTTCAATCATGAAAATCAGAATAGAACCCCCAAGGACTTTCTAGAAGGGGTTTTGAACTTAAAATTCACAAAAATAGGTGTAGTTACTTGTGTAACAAGTCAGGAAATAAGGGGCAAAAATAGAGTTAAAAGAGGGAGCAAAGGGTAAAATTAAAAGTTGGAGTTGCCCTAGTAATTTGCCTATAAAGGCAATGTTACTTGGAGCTGAAGATTTTTGGAGAGAGAGGGAGAAAAAGGCTGAAAAGTTTCTGCAGCTCTAGGCAACAAAAACTCCAAGAAATACCATTCTATTGAGGTCTTTTAGATAAATTTCGAGTTTCAGCTCCTACATTCAAGTTTCTAGCTTAGATTAAAGATAAAAATGACTTGAAATACCTGTGTTTGGCTGCTGAAGTCTATAGTTCGAGTCTGATTTTGATTTCAATCTTGTGTGGGTTCATTCAAGTTGTTTTGGGTAGTTCACTGGTTGAAATTGTCCTGGGTTGTTCGATATCGCCTCTGGGTTTACAATAAATCCCAAGTTATTGATTTCTGCTGCTATACTGCTGTTGAAGTTGCTGACTCAACCTTCTTCTCTTACTTTGCCTTAATCCCAGGTACACTTCCGGTAGCTCTCGAGAGTTGGAAATGGATTGAATGCTGCTGTCTTGTTAGCTAGATTTAAAACCTTATTGTATTTTCATATAAATAATTCAGGACTGTTTGGAAGTGAGACATGTAATTGTTAGAGCAGAAATTTGTTTGTTAACACATTATAACTGTTTATATTGGACTGTATGAACTATTTTGGGACTTATATGATTATTATAAATGTGATACAGATTATAGTAGTAAGTGTTAACCTGGTCGTTAGATAGACTCGAGGTTCAACTCCAGATTAGGGAGCTATTTAGCTCATAGGAACTGCATTGGTTAAATTTAGTCTAGCTATCTCTTGTGTTTGAGATTTCAGCTGCGTTAGAATGATTGTTGAAAACAGGTAAAAAAAAAAAGTATATGTGTTAAGTTCAGCCAAACACGACACGTGCCTTTACATTTTAGTTCTGAAATCAAAGCAGCGTTTCTACATCATGACTGAGTTTGATTGCCTTAATTCAGTTGTCAAATCCTCTAACTATTTGCAAGATTCCTTCAGTATAGATCTGAATAGAAAAATTTAGATTTTTATTGATAGTTGTACTAAATTTGAAGTTGAAGCCGTCCCAGTAATTTTGTTTGGGCTCGTCCATAAGCCCAGAATTGGTAGCCCACGCCATTTGTCCTGGGCATCAACATTATTGACGCAAGGCCTAGTTCCAGGTCTACCTACTTTCCCAATTGGGCTTGCGTCAAGGCCCAAAGTTGATAGCAGTCCACAAAACGATTTCATTTTTATTCTGTTGGGCCAAGTTCAAAATTCAATGCTGAAAGCTCGAAGTTGTAACATGGGTTTTGGGCTTTCAAGTTAGGTAGCGGATTCAAATTAAGAGGTTTTTCCCTTTTGTTTGAGTTCGGACTTGAACTTGAGGCCCGAATTTTATAATGCTAATTAATTAGGGCCTCTTTTTAGAGACAACAGTGTAATAGAAAATCATAGTTTCTTTAGAATACTCTTTAAATAAAACATGAGATGAGCCTCGCCGCATAAAACATACAAATTGCGGGGCCCTCATTAAATACTATGTTAAAATATTTTAGAAATCGGGTAAGCCATTTCGCAAATTTCTATGGTCTCCCGCAAAGATACCAACACGCTAGTCGCTTTAGGCGCGTTGTTTAATAATTTTACCTTCCTAAACTCGGGTGCGCATTTCATGCAACCCAAATCCAAATCCCAAAACGTTGAATAAGAGGTGTTGAGGATCCGGGTGCATTTCATGTGACGTGATCCAAAAACACGCTCTTAAACGGCGTTCACTTTCGTAAAAAACAAAATAAACTAAAAGCGGTAAATAATCTTAAAATTGCACTATAGGTTTAAATATGTATAAAAACCAGATTTTAGCCATTTATAATAATTTAAGCGACCGTGCTAGAACCACGGGATCCGGGGGTGCCTAACACCTTCCCTCGGGTCAACAGAATTCCTTACACAGAATTTCTGGTTCGCAGACTCCAATTGGGGAGTCGAAATTTTCCTCGATTTGGGATTCAAGTTAAACCGGTGACTTGGGACACCAAAAGCCAATCCTATCCCAAGTGGCGACTCTAAATAAATAAATAATCCCATTTCGAATAATGTCACTTTAAATGGAAAAACTCCCTTATACATTTATCCTTCGGGGTAGATGTGTAAAAAAGGAGGTGTGACACCGCGCATAGTGAAAATTTAGTACATTGGGCTACTTCTTCGGATCCCGCGCATAGTTGGGAGCTTAATGCATCGGGCAGCTTTTCGATAAGCGGGTTTCAATGGATATTTTGTCTTATGACAGGATGCAAATAGGATCAGATTGAAGTATGATAGACACCTGTTCTGAACTAAGAAAGAAATCAAAATTGAAATACTAATATATTCCCTGATTGATTATAACTAATATACACCATATCTGCACAATATGCCAATATTAAAAGTGAATCTTTTTACATAATACTATTAAAGAATTTTTACCTCCTATAGCAAAGGTTAACATCTTATATATTTTAAATAAATATCATTTTAAAAAATTATATTCTATAGATACCTTTTAATGTTTATAGTAAAATATTTAATTTTGATTGCCTCCTACCCTTAAGCCACTAAATACGCAATTCAGTTACACTATTTTCTTTCTCTCTCTACTTTGATACATGCCATTCTCTTCCCACATTTCCTAAAAACACGATGCTCAATCTCAAAATTCGTCTCACCCACATCACCTACTATTAGTCAAAAATCCCACGCTCTCTCCTCCCTCTTGCACTTTCAGATGACCCTTCAGATCTTCA